CTGCAAAAAAAAATCAAAGGGGGCAGGAAAGGTTTGTCCTTAGAATATTCTGAGAGATCGGAAGGGATGCAGGAACTTTTCAGGGCTTACACAAATAGTGCCCAGGATGCAGAAACGCTCTCACCTTTTAACATTTTTCAATAAAAGTTCTGTTGCTATGAAGAGTTAATTTCCTTTGCACTTGTGAAAAGCTCAAACAACTTGTTATGTCATTGAAATTACTGAAGTAATGAGAACTCATAATGAATTAGAAAGTATGCTACAATGCACACAGGACTTATTAAAGAGAACAGCAAAAGGAAGTTTTAGTTGCCCCGATTGAAAATACTGTTTTTAAATTAGGAACAGGAGTCTAGGTGCCTAATTGAGCCTGGAAAGCACTGAGGACCTTCAGTAGAAATGCTATCTGAAAAACAGGAGAAATGATGCTGGAAATTTCTATTAGACATTTTGGGGGGCTTAAACTTGGTTGTCAGCTTCACTGGATCTGCAATCAAGGAAGAGATAAGCCACCAGGCACATCAGTGAGGCCAGATACTTGAGTACCAGCTGAGCCTGCATCTTGATTAGCAAGTAGGAGGCAGTGAGAGCAAACTGGGAATAGTGTGGGCTTTTGAAACTTCAAAGGCTCCCAGCAATGACACACCTTTTCCAACAAACCCACCTCTCCTATTCCTTTGCAAACATGTTTACCAACTGGGGAGAAAGTATTCCAATACATGAGTCAATGGTGGCCATTGTTATTCATAACAGCCATGGTTGCAATAACAAGATTATGTAAGCCAATCTTATTAATTGCATTGTAATATATTTTAAATCTAGTGATTCTGTTCCTCTACTGAACCATGACCAACACTGATACCAACTGATGCTTTTCTAGAATAATAACATTTTTAAAAAGGAAATAGACACTGGACAGTTAAAATGTCTCTTAAATAAACAGTAGCATTTCTTTTGAAAATTTAAGATCAGAGTACTTTGCCTCAAGATTAAGCTGGTCTTTCAACAACAGATAAGAAAGAGGAGAAATATTATTATTGATTGAACGTGTATCATAAAGATTAGTTTACTTTAAGACAAAAGCAGACTTCAAAAGAGGCCTTTAATATTCACCACACAAAGATAAAACCAGCTACACACGGATAGAAAGGTCAAACCATTTTACATCTACATGTATTTCTTTGCAGAATTCTCACAAATGACTTTAATCCCCTTTAGCGATGTAACTTTGAATAGTCCATTTTCTTATTCTAATATATTAATAAAAATTATAGGATGCAAAGTTGAAATAATAGCTTTATTTTTAACAGTCGTGAGATTTTGGAAGTTCTTATCATATGCCATGGAATTTTCATATTATAACCTTTTTAAGGTGTTGTCAATTCATCATCAATTGGTTTAAGACAGACCTACCCGCTTGCTGAGCTTGCCAACCCAGAAATCCTAGCAGTTCTACACAAAAGCAGATTTTAATTTGGTGAAAACCTCATGTCAGGTGCAATCAGAGTAAGACTAGTCTGTCTCCAAGGCAAGTAAGTCTATGCTGCTACTACTTCACTGGAACTATAATATGCACAAGCTTGTTGTCATTGCTGTTCACTGCTCTATGGAAGGATGTCTAAGTGTCCTGCCTTAAAAGATACTCACACTAATTACCAAATTAAAGTTTCTATTAGCAAATGATTTTTCTAAGTCACGTAGATGTATTTCCAATACTGACAACATAGCTTCTTGAGATCAGAGATTTGGAAGCATTCTCTGGTCAACCAGGCTTGCTCTCTGTTATGACATACAGCTCCAAGAGTGTTCCTCCAAGAACTCAGCTTGAAGTCTTAGCTTAATGATCAGCATAGCATCTTGTACGGAGCAGGTTCCTTTTAAAATGCAAATTCTTGAATAGTTGGGGACTTGGTAAGGAAAACCAATTTTTGCCTGTTGTTGGAAACCAGCTGGTCCATCATTTCTTCTTCCTGTCTTCTTTTAGCCTCTACTACAATATTTCACTGTGTTTGACTTTAGTTAAATCGACAGTCTCAACTCCAAATTTTTTTAACATGACTTCCCACAAAAATATTATGTTTAAAAATTTGCAACAAATTGTAAGCTGACTAAAAAGGATTCAAAATCACACATGTATTTTATCAATTTATACACTGAATTTGTCAATTATTCCAAATTTAAAAAGATATCTGAGGTACATTAAAGTGTTAAATAAAGGACTGGAGAGATGGTTCAGCAGTTAAAAGCACTGGCTGCTCTTGCAGAGGTCCTGAGTTCAATTCCCAGCAACCACATGGGTGCTCACAGCCATCTATAATGGGATATGATACCTTCTACTGTGTTGCAGGCATACATGCAAATAACACTCATATACATACATATAATACAAAGTAACACCCTTTTAAAGTGTATTAAATAAGTATTTTATAATTGTGGATTGTCTGTTAAAATTCAAATGTTAGCAATAAAAAATTCCAATTTCCTACTATATTGAAGAGTATTTTCCAAAATCTGATTTTGTTATTGCCAAGGTTTAAAGGTATTAAAATGCTATATGGAAAATGGATATATTGATACAATGTCTCCACTGAATAACTTAGGTGCTGTCCTCATTGTCTCCAGTCAGCAAATATCTGTGCGTCTACAGTTGCTGTGAAAGTCTGTGTGCCTGCTACTTCTTCATCTAGTCCTATGAGCTCTCTTAGGTTAAGTAAGTTATTTTAGTTTGTTTTTCTAGCAATTTTCTTCTTTTAATTTAAAATTTTTGAGATTATAATACAATTGCCTTATTTCCCCTCTCTCCAATCCCTTCTGTATATAGTTCCTTGATCTCTTTCAAATTTATGGCCTATCTCGTGAGTGTCTGTGTGTGTGTGTGTGTGTGTGAAGGCATACGTGCATAATATATATTTTATATATAATATATTATATAATTATAATAATATAATATATTTATATACATTATTTTATAACTACATTCATGTAGCAAATATCTCAATCTGCCTCTCTGATACACTGCAGTGTACTTCTTCAATATTCTGGGTTTTCGAAATCTGAGAAAATCTCAAGAAGTTGTGATTTTAGAAAAGAGACAAACAGGACCTAGTCTGGTGAAGCTTTGTATATGTCTGCATGGGTGTGCTATAGTGCACTGACATACTAAATACTTGGAGGTCACATGTCTTTCTCTGTCACTTTCTACCTTATTTTTCGAGACAGGATTTCTCACTGAACTTGGACCTCACAAAGTCCTCAAAAATATCTGGCTAGAAAGCAAGAGGAGCCCTCCTGACTCTTCCTCCCAATACTGGGATCACCGGCACACTCCACCAGGCCTGGCTTTTCCTGTGGGAGCTAGAGATGAGAATCCGAGTCCTTATGCTTGTTTTGCAAGTAGTTTCCTAAATGAGACATTTCTAAAGTTCCTTTAGTAAATATATAAAGGCATTTGGAATACAGGAAAATGTAAAAAATACAAATAGTTGTGAATTCAGAAAGTAAGTGGAAATAAGTCTTTTACTAACCAGGGCTGTGGCTTCTTTTCCTTCCCACTGTCCGAATTCTACCACCCTGGCTTGGAAAGCATATCTGTATGTTGGGATCAAGTTTTGAAGACAGTGATCTAAGCCTTCCTGACAAAATGACTACGGACTTCATCCTTAGTCATCACTTTCAGCATAAATTATTTAGTATAATTCCACTTTCTTTGTTGTCACATCCAGAATAAATTTCTAGTAAAGGAAAATATTTGGAGCTGAGTGTGGTGATTCAGTTTTATTGTGGGTAACTGTCCCCAAAAGGCAGCAGATGGTTGGAAAGTTCAAGGGCAGACTGGGATGGACAGTAAAGACACAATTTCAGAAAACCAAGATTAAACAATCAAAAATTCATTTGGATTAAAATTATATAGGATAATGACTGCACACCTCAATTGTCAAGGAAATATAATTTATATTTTATATTTATTTTATAATATGCTAGCCACATTGAAATATCAGAAAATCTTTCCACTGTCAATATTTTTCATTTTGGGAATCTTAAATACTTGTGTCTGCCTATTATTTTGTTTTAACTTCATTTTATGATACTGCTTAATTCCTTCTATTTCTGTTTATTTTCAAAGTTTGTATTACTCTTTGAAAATGAGCCACCATCTTTACAAGGCAAAAAGCTTTGGGAGAACACTTAGAGAAATTCAGAACAAATCTATGCAGAAGTCCTTCAAATGGTAAAACTATCATTGAAAATGTCCCTAAACTTTAGCAACAGGATTTCTATTTCATTTTTATTTTATTCTGAATAAGATCATGGCACAATTTTGTTTTCTTCCTGCCCAGACATTATTTTCTTTATGGCAACTGATGTGAAAAAAAAACTAGTAAAAACAGAGAGAAGTGATTATTTTATTTAAACAAGGTAATAAAATACATTGAACCTCAAATCATAAGATGTAGTTCTGCATTGTTCTGTGATATTCATCTTTCTTCTGAAGCACGTAAACTGGGAATTTTAAGCATTTTAAAATGGGAGTGTTCTCAAAGTTTTTCAGCCTTGTAAACTACTGTGAGATTGTCAGCAGCATTTGCTGGTGTGAAAACCAATGCTTCTGATGTGTGGTCTGTAAGTAAAAGCTTCCTGTCATCTGATTACATAGCATTCAGCCAGTGTGGCAGGAGGTAGTTTCTAAATTACCCAGCTGGACAGTCAGAGGCCAGTGACATTTGTGGAAAATAGCTGTGGGACAAAAATAACCCATTTGTTCTGAAGAAAAGATCCCAGTTTTCCCAATAATCATAATATAATAATAAAACGTAGTCCTTTCTCAGCGTTTGGGTCACTGAAGTCACATGGCACAAGATACCCTTCTGTCTTTCCTTTAGTCTTCTCTTCCCATGAGATTTGAGGAATTTCCACTTGTATGAGTTGCATAGTTCCCCAGCCTGGCAATTAGTTTTAAAGGAACCAATGTCAAGTCTCCTAAAACTTTGACCATTTTTGCC